GTAAGCCGCCCTGAGTCCCCTTAGGGAAAAGGGCGGCCTATAAATAATAAATAAAATCTAAAAATCTAAATCTAAATCCCCCCCTATGGGACCACCTCCACTCCACCTTTTCTCCCACTTAGCGTGCACAGCAACACCACTGGCACCTCACCTCCTCCTGGCCGGGACTCTCTGCACGTTTCAAGCTCTGCTGCCTCTTGTACTTGCGCAGCAACTCCAGTTCCAGGGCTTTGACGGATGCAGCATCCTTTCGGCTGCCTTTCTTGCCCGGCTCCTTGGGACTCTGATCTCCCTTTTTGGCAGCTGCTGCACCAGGCTGGGCGACTCTCTGCAGGCCAAAAGGGCTGCCAGTCTTCCCAATGTTCTGCTGGAATATATCCTGGAGGAGTGAGAGCACAAACGCCCCCAAGGAAGCATCACAAACCCCTGCTGGGTTTCAGCAACACAGCAGCACAGCTGCAATTTTCTTGGGGGTTGGGGAGGGGCAAGGCTTGCTAAGATAAAGTCCAGCTCCTTCCCAGACACAATGAACAAATACTGCCAACCGATAAGAGATGGAAAAGGGCTCTCTTGAGATTAAAAGCAGAAGGCAAAAAAAGGGAGTTCTTAAGATCGCTTGCTTCGGGTTTTTCTATAAAGAACCTGCAACTTTATGGAGCGAAAACATACACTCTGTTCTCAAGCCCAGTCACAAGAGTATCAACTGTGCAAGCTCAGAATTTGTCACAACGTGTCGCTTAGACTCTTAGCGGATTCCTCTGCACAGATTTTCTTGTTGAGTAGGGTAAGTAGGGTAGCTGTTTAGAAAAAAACAAAGGCTGTGGATGTCTGCCGCTTTGGGACTGAGAGCGTAAACTTTCAAACCCTCTCAGACAAGTGGAAGGGCCAGAATATTTATTCTGCGGTGTGGTATAAACAGCCAGGCTACAGACTATGCCGTGGCTGCTCTGAGCACACCGGGGACCTAAAGCCACTAACACTTCAGACTGCTGTGCCAGGGGCTAATGTGAGGTGCCCCTATTTCCTATAGCAGTGGTCTTCAACCTTGGCAACTTTAAGACNCATCCTCATTTGTGAGAAAGGGAATAATTACAACTCAGTGCCTTCCAAATAACGATAAAAGTAGTGCTTGAGTTGTAACTGTAACAGAGCTTGCTCATTATTTTGTCAGCTGTAGCCGTTGTAAAACGGGTCAGTCACATGACCGACCTGCTTTTATGCTCTTTTGCAGTGGTCCTTAAGCGAACCCAGTGGTTGGCTGTGTGAACGTGGCAGTCGTTCAGCGAACCCATTACTTACCGTGACACGGTTTGAACTGTCTGACGCTGCAACTGAGCACCCAGACTGCAGTCGTATGACCCTAGGGGAGGGAGGGGAGGGGCTCCTGACCATCAGGGTTTCGGATTTAGGTCATAAGTCCCCTTTTCCAGGCAAGTCACAACTCTGAACAGTCGTTAAGTGACCAGTTGTAAATCAAGGACTACCTGTGATTGATTTCTCAGAATATTCGGCCTGTATTACCCTTCACCCCCCACCCATTTAAAGGATGGACAGAATGGAGGATTTCTTTGTATCCCCTTCAGCTAAATAAAACCATTCCTGGGGGAAATAATATATCTTGATGCCAAAACACAGAATCTTGTAGATCTAGGCTCTCCCAACGCGGGTGGGGATGGCGCGTAGAACAAAAATAACTGGACTGTTTTTACAGGCTCAGGCACCCTTTCTTGCAACCTTCCCTGCACTTTTTTTACCTGGTTTCTGAGAATTCCAGACTGATGACATTGAGCACTTTCTCTCGGCGGCTGCTGCAGTAGTAGCCGACAAAGTCACCCAGGCGCATCTTGAGGTCAGCTTGGCGTGTCACATCAATGACATCGATCTCCTTGTCTGCACCTGTTAAGAAAGAGATACACCTCCTGTTGAGCAAGTCAGCTGGGAGGTGGCAGCAGCAGCAGCAGCAGCAGCCATATTTCCCTGAATTACACCCCTGAAATATACTGTGGGGCAGGCAACAAACTCATCAGAAGCTTAGTGATGCAAGCATCTCCCTCTAGTGCAGTGTTTCCCAACCTTGTCAACTTGAAGATGTCCGGACTTCAACTCCCAGAATTCCCCAGCCAGCGAATGCTGGCTGGGGAATTCTG